TTAAAGAGGCTATCTTTCCTCCAGTGAGGATGGTTGGCTCCTTTGTCAAAGATGAGGTAGCTGATTACGTCTGCAGTTGTTTCTGTATCTTCCAGTCTATACCACTGGTCCTTGGGTCTGTTTCTTTGCCAGTACCATGCTGTTTTTATCACAGTGGCTTTGTAGTATAGTTTCAAGTTGGGGATTGTGATAGCCCCTACCATGTCTCTGTTGCCTAGAATTGCTTTTGCTATTCTAGGTCTCCTCTGGTTCCAAATGAATTTTTGGATTGTTTTCTCTAGTTCTGTGAAATATACTGTTGGGATTTCAATTGGGATTGCATTAAATCTTTATAATAGATTTAGAAGAATGGCCATTTTCACTATATTGGTTCTTCCTACCCAGGAACAAGGGACATCTTTCCATTTTCTTATATCCTCTTTGATCTCTTTTTTCAGAGTGTTGTAGTTCTCAGTGTAGAGGTTTTTTGCTTCCTTTGTTAGATTGATTCCTAGGTATTCCATTTTTTTGGATGCTATTGTGAAAGGGATTGTTTCCCTAATTTTTCCTAATTCAGTGAATCTGTTATTTGTGTACAAGAAAAGATTTTTGAGTGTTGACCTTGTATCCAGTTACTCTACTGTATCTGTCAATTAAGTCTAGATGTCTTTTAGCAGAGTTCTTTGGGTTTTCAATGTAGAGCATCATATCACCAGCAAATGATAGTTTAACTTCTTCCTTTCCTATCTTTATTCCTTTTATTTAATTTCTTTCTTGTAAATGCTGTGCCTAATGTTTCCAGAACTATATTGAACAGGAGTGGTGATAGTGGACATCTTGTCTTGTTCCTGATTTTAGAGTGAAGGTTTTCAGTTTTTGACCATTTAGTATGATGTTGGCTGTTGGTTTTTCATGGATAGGCTTTATCAAGTTGAGATAAAGACCCTCTTCCAATTTTCTGCAGGGTTTTTATCATGAATGGGTGTTGAATTTTATCGAATGCTTTTTCTGCATCTATTGAGATGATTATATGGTTTTTGTCCTTGACTCTGTTAATATAGTGTATTACATTTATTGATTTATGTATGTTGAACCATCCTTGCATCCCTGGGATAAATCTGACTTGGTCAGGGTGTATGATCTTCTTGATGATCTTCTGTATTCTGTTTGCCAGTATCTTATTAAGGATTTTTGCATCTGTGTTCATTAGGGAGATTGGCCTATAGTTCTCTTTTTTGGTTGGGTCTTTGCCTGGTTTTGGAATCAAAATTACACTCGCTTCCAGAAATGAATTTGGAAATATTGCTTCCCTTTCAATTTCTTTGAGAAGTTTAAAGAGTAGTGGCAATAGTTCTTCTCTAAATGTCTTGTAGATTTCAGCAGTGAAACCATGAGGACCTGGGCTTTTCTTTGTTAGTAGATTTTAAATTACATTTTCAATTTCACTGATTTTAATTGGGGTGTTTAGGATTTTTATGTCTTCTTCATTCAACTTTGGTAAGTGCCAATGTATTTAAATTCTTAGTTTTTATATTTAGAAAATTGTACATAAATTCATCAGGTTATATTCAAGAAAATCTTAGAAAGAGCTATTCATGAGTGAGAAATACAGCTAACCACTTCTAGATGTTCTTTTTTTTCAAATTCCATTTGTTGGAGCCACAGTTATAATATATGCTCTGTGTAAAATGTCAATTAGCAAATCCCTGGCATATTTAAAGTATTTCAAAATGTCAAGTTGAAGTAAGGAATGTTGTTATATTTGGAAGAATTTTGCCATAAAGTAATGTTTATAATGGGTAGTTCAGGTCAGTGATGAGAGACTAGCAGGAAATCTCATTTTGCCTCCAGAAATCTGAGAACTCCAAGTCCAGGTCAAGACTGGTAATGTCAGTTCCCAAACAGTGGCCTGCTCCCTCATAGCAGGAGAACTGAACCCTCTATTGATGACCTGGAACCCTCTTTTTCAGATCCTGGAGGACATTAGGAGCGACAGATATGGCTGATGTTTGAGTTTAATGCTAAGAAAGTTCATGCCTAATATTTCACAGTTTCCATTGTGAAATAAGATGTAGGAGAGAGAAAGTAACATCTTTTCTGTACCCAACCTAAAGGTAATGACTGACACCCTTAACAAATGTCGGATTAGAAGAAAGAAGTAAAGTACAACAGATTTATTTAAACCAAACTTTAAAAACTTTTTAAATGTTTACACCACACGAGAGCCTTCAGTAATGAAGACCCAGAGGCCCAAGGAATACTGATACAGAAATATGGTCGGAGAACCGAAGGGTGTGACTCAATGGTAATACTTGGGAAGACTCAGCAAGGCCTGTGCTCAGATTCTTCTTGTTCCACTGGCCAACTTTTAAATGGCCAATAAGTCACAGAAGATGTAAGATAAATTAGAAAATAGCTTTGAGGTGAATGAAAATGAAGATGCAGAATACTAAATATGCAGCTAAAGCAGTGCTTAGAGGCAAATATATACCTTTGAATGCCAGTGTTAAAAAAGAAAAAAGATCTCAAATTGATGGATTAAACTTCGACCTGAAGACACTGTGTGTGTAAGAGAAAGAAGGGGCAAAAAATCAAAAGGGTCTGAGATGGAATCTAGGAAAGGGTGCAGACAGAGTGGCCCTAGGTAAGAGCAGCTTCTCATCATAACTAGACAGTAGGATAGGCTAGGATGGATGGTGCTGTGTTTCTATTGGACAGGTAATAAACTTGCTCTCAGCTGCCATTTACTGCCTTAGGTTGGAGCTGAAGTTACTTGTAGTGTAGAGAAAAATGGAACACTGAATATTTGAGGAAAATGGGAAATTGAGATAGTTTTCATATAGAGTGATTGAAATAGTCCTGTGTATAATTAACTAGAGAAAACCCCTTCAAACTTTGTCTTGTTGAGGGTATATTTGAGGCTGGTGATTTTGAATTATACAAGACCTACTGATTTTCCTGCTTTATAATGTGCTTCTTTCAGCTACATTTGGCTTTGTGAGTGAAGGCACAGAAAAGATAGGTGTTTGTTTGCATTTGTATGTGGTTGGTTTTTTGCCCAGTGGGTGAGATGGAATGATAGAAGAGCAGGGATATTTAGAATTTTGAAATGATAGGCTATGGTCAATAAAGTGGATGAGGAAAAAGCTAAAGGGCAGAAAATAATGAATGAGGATACAGGGAGTACTGGTAGAGGAGTCAGTGACAGCAGACACAGGGGATCTGCTATCCAGATCATCTTCTTGAGGGAAGAGAAATCATTGTCTACTTCAAAATCTTTGTTTATCCTAGCTGCTGGAATAGTGCCTGGCACATAGTAGGCAACTGAGTGATAATTTAATAAGAAAGCTGAAAAAGTGGAAGTTGTGGTCAGACTGAATGGTGGAGGAAATAATTTCCACTTGGATAATATATGTCTGACGTGTGCATACTGCACTTCATCTCTCAGTAGCTAGTAGCTTTTGCTAAAGTAGTATTTGGACTTTTATAGGAATAATATATTTTCATAGAAATAAAGTATAGAGCCATTTTTCTGCAAATGGGTGAGTTGACCTTTTCTAACTGAATGCCACTGAAGGCCACTGGAGCAATTAGAGCTTTTACATTTGACTTTATATGGCCAAAGTACACAAGCAAAACACTAGTGCCAGTTCTTTTCCTTTCCATATTAACAGTCTCGTTCTCAAAGGCAAAGCTTGGGTTGGTTATTTCTGCTGCCATCAATTGCTGTACTTAATTCTGCTTATCACTGATGTGGACAGTTTTATATTTATATTGTTGAATCAGTTCTCTGAAGTATATTGACCTTTCAGTAGGGTTTAAAAGGCCTCTTGTTTTTGTCTAGGACCTAAGCCTCATTCAAAAATAGGGATGGCCATTTACCGGAGGAAAAGTTTATGGGAAGAGGCTAACATGATAATAAATTTAAATTTAAAACAATGCCAGTATTGTCACATTTACTTAAATGAACCAAAAAGGTAATTTTGATTTTGAGAATTCAGAAATATGCCTGCATGTCTTTCAAATGTCTTTTCACAAGACTTGTTTCTCCACTGCTACACCACAGTATAATAACTTCTACAGAGTAGATACTTGTTAAAGCTACATCCTGATGAATCTTTAATAATAAGCAGTTCTCTGAAATGTTATTCCCTCCTCTAAAATGTGTTCTTTGCCTGGCAAATGTCTTTTATTGTTTAGCTCACATATCACCTCTAAAAATATTCCCAATTCTTAAAGGCCTCTGATCTTTGGACAGTTCATACTTATTTTCTATTGTATTGTCACTATTTAGTCATACACTTGTTTCTTGTTCTTGCCTTTTATCTACCAAGGAGCAAAAACATTGACATTCACTTTTAGTGCCTCTCTCTCCCTCCCTTCTCTCCTTTTCTTCCTCTCTCCCTCTCTCCCTTACTGATCTGGCTGGCCTATAATTAATTTATTATACATGTATAGTTATGTATGTATATATGTATTTATTTGTAGTGTAAAGTGTTCATCAAGATGTTAGAAATGGCCATATTTGGGTGATAATATTTTTGTTAACTGTTTTCTATGAGCATCTTTTTCCATTATTTAAATTTTCTGTTTCAGGATATATTGGGGGGGGTGGCTGTTTCTCAGTTTTTAAAATAGATGGTACCTGAAGGAGACAATTATGAGAAATAAGTGCTTTGACACAGTTTAGAACCAATCAGACCTGGATCAAGTGGACCGATCTGTGGTCTGCTAACAAATCTAGTGATTTAGGAAAGCAGGTTTATCTGCTGCAGGTTGACTAGGGCTTCTGCATCCAGTGTCTCAGTCCAAGCTTTCTCCATGGCAAAACAGCTTCCAGGGTTGCTGCAGCCAGGAGACAGAGATGGAAGCAGGCAGCTGGCTGTCACTGGGCATAGCATATATCACTTGCCTGGTACCAAGGCCCAAGCTTACTGAGAACCAGACTGGGAAATGCATCCAGTAATAGTGAGTGCCTGTTGTCTCTGCCAACATGCCTGTAACTCTTTTTCTTTTTTCAGTTACTGTAATGAATGCATGTTGGATCCAAACTGCGGTCTCTGCTACAAGATGAACAAATCAGCTGTCATTGACTCCTCCTGTGTTCCAGTTAATAAAGCATCTACCAGTGAGGCAGCCTGGGGCAGGTATGTCACTTCCCACCTACTGTAACAATACGCAGCAAAATTTCAAACAAGGCTGAGTTTCAATTCTCAGCACTGGCACTTGTAGGAGTTCCTGAAAGTAGGCCTCATTGCTCCCTCACTGCACAGCATGTGGTGATCATACTGGGTGCAGAGCATCACAGCTGTGTATTTCAAAAACTCACAGAAGAGAACACTCTGGCCTGGACTTCTGCAGATCTGCATTCCAGACCCTGCTCTGCCTAATAAGCAACAGGAGTGTGGATCTTTAATTTTAGGCAGGTGTTCCCAAATATTGTCATTGCAGATTCTCCCATTGCATATTACTTATCTACACTGTAATTTCTAAATTGTAATTTTCTGAGCTCAAAGAAAATTTTAAAGTCAAAATGAATTAATATTAATTTAAATTATTTCATGTACTTATTTTTTCCTGGAGTACTTTTCTGAGATTCAGTGAAATTAAGCAAAATGAGGTAAAAGTTGGTAATTATTGGCACTTAACATATCTAGGAAGATACAATAAATATTTCTTTAAAGGGGGCAGAATACATTGCTTAAAGTGGGTACATAAGTGAAACATCTGTATAGAATAAACATCCTCCCATTTATAAACTAATATTCATATCCATGGACACATAAAATGTGGAAATGTTGTCTCTTGTGTTTAAAGGAAATGAAACTTGTAATATAGTACTTGTGCCACCTAGGAGCTATAAAGTGTAATGCGTTAGTATCAACCATTATGCTGTTGTCATTCATCATTTTATTAGAGAAGCACTCCAAAGAAGTAGAAGTTTTATGATATTTGAAGAAAAATCCAGACCGTATTTTAATACACTAATTACAAAGAAGTGATTTTAAAAGGGGGTTATTATTTAAAATGAATACTTGAAAGAACTTCTTCTAGAGTTCTTGAATATTAAATTCTGTAACAACAAATGTATATAGTTTCCCATATTTAACAAAATTAATTTATAAACAGTAAAATTTTTTTCTAATAGAAGTAAGGAGCACTAAGATATATTTATCAACCTCAGAAGAGGGTTTAGAAGTCAGAGGTTTCAAAACAGATTTCCTTCTTGCATTTTTTTTTTTTTAATATTATATGACTTTTTAGTAGAAATGTATTACTGACTTTATTTTTAAGAGACTAATTTATAAAGTCTATCTTAGTTACTTTTCTCTCATTGCTGAGACAGATACCTGACACCCAAAGTTAAAGGGAGAAAGGTTTATTTAGCTCACAGCTGTAGAGGTTTTAGTCCATAATTAGCTGGCTCCAAGGCAGGGTGGCATGGCAAAGGGGCATCACAGGAGAAACAGTTCATGGTGAGCAGAAGGTAGCAAAGCAAGCAAGCATGGGACCTTAGCAGCTTTTTCTGCCTCTTTTATACTCTTATCTAGGTTACAGGGATTAGGGCAGTACCAAACCAATCAGTGGGCTGATTTAGTAATCACCCACCCTTAATCCTAGCATTGTACCATGAATCAGTCACACACTTTAGATTCAGCCTCCTCTGAAAGAGCCCCACCTCTGACCACATGAGGCTTTAAACACAAGCCATAATAGCAACTTATTCTTACATTTTTATGTATATTTTTGAATCATCATCCCTTGACTGAACACACAATTACAGAGAAGCGAGGCATAGATAACACCTAAGTAGAAAAAATAAAAATAGCAAAAACAAAAAAATCCACCTTTTATGTGTTTGTAACCTATTGTTAGAATCGTCTTAACCTCTTTACAAAAAAAGAGAAAACTTACCCAAGGTTTCTTACTTCTGTGGCCTGGAAGGCTCCATCTTCTTTCCTGGCTCCTCCCTTCATTCCCTCCTCTGGTCAGGCATGGGGTAAGCAGTCCCCTACCTAGGCCATCAGCTGTGCTGAGGACCATGCAGACTGAACCTCCTGAAAAGTGAGCACAAGTAACTGCTGTTGTGTTTTGGATTGAGTCCCAGTGGTAAGGAAACATGACAAAGACAGGAATTATATAAAGGTTGGAAATAAAAGAATGAAAAATTAAATCCCAAGAGGACAAAGGAAATACAAAAGAATCTTGAAAATTTACAAGCTGGATACAAGAGTTAAATAGTGAACTTAATAGGAAATTTCGTTCTTTAAAACCAAACATAAAACAGGAAAATTTATTATGTTCAAACACAAAGAATAGATTTAACATAAAAAGAGGTGGTCAAAAATATGGTGAACATTAATTTTTTGAAAGCTTTTTAAGGTAAAAGACACATTGCCAGGAATGAGAGGATAAGTATGTTAGATGGGAGAGTATTTGGGGTTGATTAATGGCAGTGTGTCTTTTACTATAATAATTTTTTATTTAAACACTATTTTTATCACACCTTGTATACTTACATTTATATAAATGTATATGCAGTCCAATAAATTCTAAGTATATCCAAATAATATCATATAGTATACCTTTCCTAATCAAAATGCAATAAATTTCTCTGCTCATAATAGCTAAATCTTGGAAGCAACCTGTATGTCCATAAACAGATGAATGGAATAAAAATGCCATATTTATGCATAGTGGGAGTACTCTATCATAAAGGGTATATTTGAGTCATTTGTAAGAAAAATGGATGCACCTTGAGACAATAATGTTAAGTGACACACAATCTTAAATATCACATGGTTTCTCTTATATGAGAAACCCAAAGTGTAAATAATTTAAACAGCAAAATAAACACCTTTTAATAGGAAACAGGAAGAGAAATCTTTTGTAAAAGAGAAGAGAACCAAGAGAGAGAGGGAGTGGGGAAGGATGAGTGTAATCAGTATATACTGTAAAAATTTAAAACATTTTACATGCAGTAAATTACCAAAGCAGCAGGAAGATATTTATCACCTCTTAATTTAGTTTAGAATGTAAGAACAAACACCCTCAAACTAATTAATGAATTAGGGAGAAATGATAATGGGAAAGAGGTTGTGATAATAATAAACAGATACAAGAGAATTCCCAAATGGAACACAGAATAAACATATGGAATTAGCAGAAGATGGAAATTAAAAAACTAGGAGGAATTGGACATGGTGGTACATACCTGTGATCCCAGCTATGTAGGAGACAGAGGCAGGAAGATGACAAGTTTGAGGCCAGCCTGGGCAACCTGGCAAGATTCTGCCTCAAACTATATATGTGTCATTTGTCACCTGGCAAGACTTGGTCTCCAAATTTAATGAAAAGGTCAAAATAAAGATAAGGAGAAAAATTGCAAGAAATACTAGAAAGGATCAAAGAACAGAAGTTGATTTCAGAGTAGATCAATAAAATGGAGAAACCTCTGGCACTGCTGATCAAGAAGAGAAAAAAGGCACAAGCTATTTAGAATTAAAAGGACATACAACATCTCATTTTAAAATCCTGAGAATACTGTGAATAATCTTTTCCTGTGCACTTGAAGGCAGATAAAATAAGCAGTTTCTTCAAAGAGTACAACTTTCTAGAAGCAACTCAGAACCTCTGTCATAAATTTATCTATTCCATTTTCCATTCTCATTTTTCAGATGAGAACAATGATGCTTAGAGGATCTGAATGACTTTCTCAAAGTGAAAGGCCAGTAACTAAGTCCAAAGCAACAGTGAAGGTGTATAAAGATAGATATTTTAACGTGAAATTGTTGTAAGTTTTGCTTTTGTTATTAACCTCACACATGGCACTGGGATATCCTGGACCTCTGGGAACCCCATCCTCATCTGTAAATGAAACAATACAGTTGATTAAATATGAATATATCTGAAGTTGTAAGAATGTAATGCCCCATGCAGAAATACTCTGTACAATTTTTTCTTTTTCTGTTTCTTAGATTTGTCAATAACATACTTTCTGGGTTACAATAAGCATTGCCTAATGGATAAATGCATTAGAATATTTTTTATTTATCTGTGTCTGTTCATCCACCACTATGTATGCCTCCTAGCTCTCCATATACACAAAACCATTAAGAAATCTCTTCTGGAACTTCAGACCTCCTGACTAAAAATACTGCTAATGAGGGGTACTTTCTTAATGTGCTGATTCAGTATTGTTTCCTATAGTACTGCATGTTAGCTCTGTAATTAGAAACACTAAAATAGCTAGATTGACTCTCTATTTGGCAGTTTATTGTTTATCTCATTGATTCAGCAGATATTTTTCTCAGAACTGTGCTGTGATATAACACGCAGCCCAGTTTCTTGTGCTTCACCACCCTCTACCCAGAATTCTAGTCCAGCTCCACCCCTAGCCATCTAGCCATCGTCTGAATATCCACGAGTACTTCCTGCCTCTAATTCGTTCGTTCCTTCCTTCTGTGCTTGGTGCTCAGGGTGAGTGCTCCTCCTCTAATCTTCGTCTTTTACCCAGATCAGATGGAACTTTTTCCTCTCAGTCTTTCTGTTGGGGCTCAAAGGACAGTGATTTTTATCTCCCTTGGTCCTCTCAGGGCAGCACACTGCAAGAGGCATATGGCAGCTGCAAGAGACATGATAGCCATGAGGCCTACTCAGTGTCCCCCATGCCAGTGCCATGTGTCATGTGGCAGCCTGATACAGCCTGTTCCGGGGAGTCCCAGGAGATGCGGCTGCCTCGGCACAGACACCTGTAAACCTCACAGTGCTGGTCACCTGACAAGAACAGCTTAGCCTCCCTTGTGAGAAGAACACCTGGTGAATGACCAAGATGGAACAGAGATGGAAGAAATAATTTTAAACGCTGAGAATGGGCTCCAGCCAGGAGGTCATCTGAATCCAGGCAGATTCTGGCTCCAGCCTTCTCCGCCATCTGACTTGGGAGACACTGCCAGGGTGGCCTGTGTAGTGGCAGGAGGTGTGTAGGACTGGCCTTTGAGGGACTCCAGATTGGGGGAGAAGCTGCCCCTGTGAAGCTGGTACCTGGGACCACCAAGGTGGCCAAGGCACTGGCATAGCTCATATGATAATTATGTTGATTTACAGGGTAGCAATCTCTGCTCAGGTGTATCTTCTTACCAAGATG